CTCCAGCAGCTGACACCCAAATAAGCAGGGATTAACACCAGACAACACTCAAGCAGAAAACAGTACCCTAATCAAGGAACTACCAAGGAGAAAAACCACACCTCCACCAAGACTGGCAGGGCAAGCTACTGTATATAAACAGAGAGCAAACCCCACACTCACTGGCACAGATGATGTTACCTAGTCAGGTAATGAAATGTCTGCAAGCAAACAACCAAGCTCAGAGAGCACCAGGGACTCCACAGACAAGGAATGTGTGGTGGGGTTGGGAAATATTTAATTGCTCACAGATATTCCTAGACAACAGAGCAGAACCTGGGCAAACTGAATGGCAGGCTATGCATTAGAAATGAGAAAAAAGTTTACTTAATGCAGAGATATAAAACATCAGGTTGTAGACAGAGATATCAACCTTTCTGCACCTGGAACTACAGCTTCTTATTTTTATTTGGGGAGATGGCTGTGATCTATATTGGGGCAGATCCAAGTCTGACAAGATAGATGACACATCATTTCCAATGTCACTCCCACATGCTCCCTCCAATGGCAGAAAAGAATTCCTTTGTTGCTTGGCAATTTGTTATTGTATTTGAGTTGTGTGATTTTTGGAGACAAGGAGAAGGAGAAGGAGAAGGGAGAAAAGATGAGCAACAGGTCTTGGATTGTCCATGCCTGCCATTGTGACTTGATAAAATAACCTGGGGACCTATGTTCATTGTGACATAGCAAGTGGAGGAAATAAGAGGCAACAGCTGTTCTCTGCTCAGCTGAGCCCACTTTGGGAGAAATAATACCGAGAAATAAGAAAGAGTGTCCTCTTCAGTTCCTGGAGCCACCACCCACCCACGCAAATTTGTAGATTATTTTCATCGGATGACAGGTGCTGATCGATCATTGGTCACTGTTGGGCGCAGCTTGACAGTGGCAAATGGGTTGGTACCTCTAAATGGATGAAAAGAAAATGAAACAAATTCAATCATTGGAACCATCGTAAAACAAGGGATAATGCAAGCTATTCACAAATAACTTTAGTCTGTGACCTTTATCCAGGATACCACTAAAGATGTGTCACAACTTCAAGTTGCCAAGTTTGAAAAACACTGCACTGAAGTGTAAGAAATGTACGAGTGACTCAGCCTTCCTGGAGACTCCTGTGGCATTTATAGCCAGGTGGCTGTGAAATGCTCATAACAGGTCCAGGTTCTCCTGATGTATATTTAAACATCTCTCTTTTTAACATCCCAAAGCTCTTAGACTAGAGAATGATCTACCATCAAACTATGTTCTTACCAAGCAGGTGTCAATTCATACAATGAATGACAATTGTTTGGGAAACAGGGGAAAGTGACTGTGGCCATTTTTAAAACACTCAGCAATATAAAATTATAGCACACATATACAAAACAATGGTACATTTGCCTATTCCTACCATGGAGTGTAAAACACAAGATATAAATCTTTTAGAAGGCAACCCTATAGCTATGGTACAGTACCCTTCATCCAGCAGCCAAGACAGTGAATAAATACAATAAATTAATACTTGTCATACTTTCATACTTTCATACTTTCATACTTTCAATACATTTATTTAAATGTATTAAAGTGATCTTCAAAACCATAGCCTTAATAGGACAGAAGATAAAAATATACAGCAGGCTAAGTCATTTAGCCTGATTTAAGGAAACTGGATTTAAAAAAAAAGTCTTAACCCAGTCCCAAAAGACTGAAAGGTGTGCCTAGGACACTTATTTTTAAAGAGGTCTCTCTGAGTGGAACATGGGGCTAGATGTTGTTTTGCAGGGCACTTTCATTATGCAGTAGAAGGAATTTGGGGGCGATCTTCAGTAGAACAGGATGAACAGGGAGGGGGGTTCCATGAAGTATTTGGATCCTGTGGCAAAATAATTGTGACATGTTGGTGGTATTATAAGGCTGGGACAGAGCCAGCAATCTCATTAGGTAGGCTAAAGCAGCTATTTCAGGCAGCAAATCACCTGTATGGACACTTCCAGCTACCAAAGATCTAGATAGACACTAGGTGGCAGCAAAGAGTTACAGAAAAGAGTTGGCTTCAATCTAATGGCCCTCCAGATTTTTGCACTCTGGAGCTGGTGGCTCTACTTAAAGGACTCAACTTTACAGTCCGTTAGATATTTCACTTATTGTTAATACAACGTTGTTGGTAGATATGGAGAGAAACACACGTGGGAATTTTAATTTTTAATTTTATTTTTTTGCCTCTTGGCTGCCTTCGGGGCCTATGCACCTTGGCTTGGATCATAACCCCATCTGCTACTTCACTTTCAAATGTGTTGAACCAGTCAAGCACTGGGAATAGTTCTTAAAAATTAACATTGCAGAATGGATCTATGATTTTTATTAAATGGACAGTGATGCAGTCTGGGTGAGCGGAACAAGCCTTTTGATTGTCTACTCAGCCTCTCCATGCCTCCCTTTCTTGGAACAAACCAGGATATTAAACCAACATTAATCTAAATGAATGATCATTTAGAATGATTTAAATCCTGGCTTATTTTAAAGTGATTGCATCTGCAAAAGAATGAAGGCAGACTTTTTTTAGCTACTTGCATGATATGCCGTTATCAAACAGGCATAAAAATAGTGAAAACTGTCTCTAGAAAGATGGCCTTTAGTGTATCCTGCGAATAGATGACTCAAGAAAAAATGGACAGTACTGAACCAGGCTCAAAGGTAGAGAAAATGTACCTGGGGAAAAGTTCTGGAGGATGATCCCACCTTGCTGGCTTCTGCAATAAATCAAAAGTATGGTAAGGCTGGGAGGAAATTCCCTAATAAATTTTCAGAAGAGAGAAAAGGACGAGGGAATGAACACAGCAAATACATACACACATACAACTCCAGAACTGCTTTTCTAGGAGGCCAGTCTATTTTTGGCTCAAGGGACCTATAATATGACTCTGCCCCTGGACTGGCGGGAATGAGTGGTTTCATCACGCACTTTGCTCAAGCCATCACCATTCCCTGCTATCCGGGAAATGAACCCCCACTGCTGCTTCCTTCCATACCATACATATAGTCCAGAGAGGCATCCTCAGTCCAGCTAAACCCCAGTGTAGGACCAGCCACCTTTCTCAGAGCTTTTTTTTAAAGGGAAAGGAAACTGCTCTTTGAATTTTCTAAGGCCACCTCCACATCATCACAGCTTCTATTCCTCAGTTCCTGAAAGACAGTTTTGAAGATTATTCTCAATTGTCTTCATGTCTTGCTATCCTGAGAACAAGAATCAATGGATCATATCCTGCCCCAAGCTGGTGCAGGTCCCAGAGGAATAAAAATTTCCCCACACTATGGGAGAAGGAAATAATGCGAATTACTTGCACATACATGCCCCTGCCCAATCCGTGTTCTTATGTTGTGTGCATCTGGCTGATCGTGTGCAAAAACAAACAAAAAAACCAGTTGTTCTTACAAGGGCATCAAGGACCCTTTCCCCTTGAAAGACATCTGGACAAGAGGATGGGACACAATAAGGCAGGAATTTCTGGACTGTCTGCAAACTTCACACAGGCTCAGTATTTTTAAAATGACAGACTAGCTTAATGATGGTTTCACATACCACACAGGTGAGCCAGAAATATTGGCTTTTCACATGGAGAGATTTGGTTCTGTGAACAACTTCCTCGTTTCACTTTGTTGAGATGCCTAAACACACTTCAATAACACTCATCACACCCAAGGTTATGTTCACATGAACAGCATTAGATACTTTGGTAATGGCTATTCCAATGTCTGCACGGATGTTCTT